CCGTCCGCCCGCGGCCCCCCCTCCCTTCCCAACCGCCTCCCCCTCATCACCCGAGCCGGCTGCACCCGTTGCAGCTGGTCCCATTTTGAACAGCAAAAAGTCATCTGTACACTCTTGTGCTTCACACTCCTCACTTCCCCACTCTCGTGTCCTGCCTAGATACGAGATGGTGGGACCTCCTACCACCAATAAAGGTTGGGGAGCCCCACTGGGCCAGTCTCTATTCCACCTTTGTTCCGTGGCTTGCCAGACACATCTGGAGAATCCTCCACAGCACTGTCCATTTTGAACAGCAAAAAGTCATCTGTACACTCTTGTGCTTCACACTCCTCACTTCCCCACTCTCGTGTCCTGCCTAGATACGAGATGGTGGGACCTCCTACCACCAATAAAGGTTGGGGAGCCCCACTGGGCCAGTCTCTATTCCACCTTTGTTCCGTGGCTTGCCAGACACATCTGGAGAATCCTCCACAGCACTGTGAGCACGGGTGTGTCCTTGGTGCTGTTCACCTCTGTTCCTGACACTTGCCCCATCTGTGTCGAGAGGGAGACTCTGGCGCACATTTATCTCGAGTGTGCCAGGTTGCAGCCCCTTGTTTGGCTCCTCCAGAACCTCTTGTTGAGCTTCTGGCTGCACTTCTCCCCTCACCTATTTAATATATTCACACCCCATCCGTGGCCCCACAAAGTTGTGGGACCTCATCAACCCCCTCCTGGCTATCGCTTAGATGGTCATTTAGAAGACCAGGGCGCAGAGGTTGGGTGAGGGAGGGGCCTGCAACTGTGGGGCCTATTTCCACTCCTGTATCTGTTCACGCATCCAGGCAGAGTTCTGGTTCCCTCCTTTTAGCCCTTTGACCTCCATGCCCGTCCCTGTTTTTTCTTTAATTTGCCCCCTGTAATTATTTGGCATTATGGGTTCTGTGGATCCTCCCCGTAGTGTGGGTGGGCTTACGCCTGCCCACCTCCCGAAGTCCAGTAGGACTACTTTTTTGTATCTCTTTGACCTGACCCTGTGACACTTCCAAGCTGGTATCTGTGCTTGGGGAGGCAGGAGTGTTGATGTAGCTGTGTCAGTTACGTGGGGGGGGTTGGTTTCTTGTGTCTGACTGATACAGCTATATGGATCTACATTTTAAATGTAGACTCAGCCTAAAAAACTTCTCACTTATTCCTCTCTATTTCTCTTAACAGAATGTAGGGTGCAGATACCGTCACACTTAGTTCAAGGTGACCTGAAAAGATTTTTTTTTAAAATTGATTTGCAGCCTTTTCTTGTGCCCAAAATATCAATAATATGAAGTCCAATTTTTGTTACCAGATTGCTTGAAGGTCTCAGAACTCCCAAACATCTATTGCACCTTAATTAAAGAGCCCAGTGAACTGGAGTTTTCTAACCGAAGCATTTTTTATCCAAACAGTTTAAATCTTTCACTTGGCTCTTGGTAGTTCTTTTCACTAATTTTCCAGTGCCATAGTCCTTCAGCCAAGGCAGAACCTGAATTTCTAATGTACAGTAAAAACAAAGTACCCAGGTTCTCATTAGTCATTAGGCATCATAAAGTATTAAAAACAAGGAAATCCATATTTCCCTTTGCAGCTCACTTTTAACAGAGTTTTTTTATAAATGTAAAATGGTTGTTAGCTTCCTCTTATGTTCTCTTCTGGCCTAAAGTTTTCCCCAAAATATTTCCTGCAATTCTTGCTATCTTCTTTAAAGTGTGTGTCTATATGTTATATGTATTTTAAAGTAACTTTGAATTGAATTATATTTCTAGCTAAAGATTCCAGGCTTCAGGACCAGAGGCAGAATTCTGCAACTGGAAACAAGGAAAATGCTAAATCAAGTGAGATTTCTCCTAGCTTCACTAAACCTGAAAACAAAGGTTTGTATTTAAAATCTCCTTTAAATATTTATAGGGTAATTCAGAGAATTGTAAGCACAAATCCCAAGTATCAGTTAGTTACGTTAACATCTATTAGTTTTAAAAGGCAGTCATATCAGCTTTCTACAAGTAAGCACTTTTGTTCATGAAGCTGTGAAAGTGAACAGCATTGCAAACTTGTCAGGGGAATTATTCCTTAACCATTCCATCAACATTAAAATAAAATGTGGAAACATGTCCATTTACTAGTTTTGTTAAGACTTGTTTTTAACCAAGCTTAAATGGACCAGAGTTTCCCTTTTTAAGTATTATGGTTGTGATACATAAATTATTTGCTTCTTTGATATTATACCTCTCGTAGCAACAAAAAGTAAACTTATGGTTTTGATTCAGGTTTCTTTATAACCTGCTCCATAGTTACTCATACAGGTCTCAAAAATCTCATATGATATTATCAACACTTTTGCTGTTTAATCTCTCATCTTAAAATGCTAATGCTTCTGGCTGTATGTGATGTAAACTTTAAGGCTATATTATTGCATTGGCATCTGATAGAGTGCACTGCAGAGTTCCGTAGCTCTACATCTAGATTTTCCTATTTCCTGTAGCAAAAACCTATGTATCTGCCAAAAATAACCATGATTTCAGTGGTAAGGATTTTGTACTTTTTAAGAATGCAGTTTGGGAATTTTGCAAAACTGTACATATGCAATGAAGTAGCTGAGTGTTTTTTAAAAGAAGAAAATAAACACCACAAGCCAAATACACAGGGAAGCCTTGGAACTTAACTTCATTTACAGGTTTGGGACCCATCACAAAGGTATGAACAAAGACATTACCTGGCTAGCGCACTACCCTCCACATCCTAATGACTTAACAACAAACAAACAGTGGGTAATTAAGAACAGTTTGCACTTTCTCTATCAGCTTCATGTGGCATGAACACCCTAATGGACCCCCCCCCATCCCCTATTATTTTGGAACTGGACCTTTATTAACTCCATTCATTGTGCCCACAAAAACTCATGATCCCATCTACATGTTTTGTTAGCCTTTAAGGTACTGCTAGACTATTAGTTGTTTTTTAAGTTTTTCTAGTTACAGACTAACACAGCTACCCCTCTGAAACAAAGATCTACGTTAATGTTGCAAATTTGAAATGGAAAATGTAGAAGTTATGTTTCTTAAAGTCTGAATAACATGTGAGTGGAGAAATTAACTAACAATTATTCAGAAATTCATTGACCTAGTCACAAATAATCAATTAGCTCTAGTTTTTGTGGTTAACTGGCACACAGGTTGTACTAGTTAGGCCAAATTATTTTGTATTTGTTATAACACTTGCATTTCCTTGTTCATTTTAAATTTGAAACTTGATGTTGTATTAATGTGTGTGTTCTTTATTGTGAATTATGGCCTGCTGTCATTCCATTGTAGGGTTCTAGTAATATAAAGAACAGGAGCTGTTTTTGTGTGGTTTCCATAAAAAGAGTAACAGACTTGTGCTTCAAATGGTTTAAAAGCCATGGATCTGACAAAACTAATTTGAGAGTGGGAAAAGCAGAATTCAGCTAGACTGCTTCACTTTGGGGAAACAAGAGTGAGTGGCTGCAGTTCTTTGAGATACAGAGCTGCATCTACTTCTCTGTTTTGTTTAGCAATGAGAGCAGAAGGTTGATACATTTACTGGATCTTTCCTCTTTAGTACAGCTTATGATTCTGGAGGTTGGATTGTAATTAAAAATTAAGTGTCTCTTCAGACAAAGCATAAAATATAACTTAAATTCCCAAAAGTGTAATGTATTTAAGGGAGCACCTAGTTAACTGATCAATCAGTTCAGTATTGGGGCTTCTCATTTTCTTGAATCCAAAGCACTACATAAGAATTGTCACTGAATGTTTGTTTGCTCCTGTTGGAGTAGTAAAAAATTTCCAAATCAAAAGTATCAACTTTCATTCTTGGAATCCTAATATTCATGTTACTGACCTAAAACAAACCTGTAACATGAACACTCTAATTCACTATTCTCCCCCCCCCGCCCCCATTCCCTATTTATTTTGGAACTGGACTTTTAATACTCTGTTCCTCTGAAGAAGTGGGTTGTACCCATGAAAGCTCATGATACCATTTACATGTTTTGTTAGTCTTTAAGGTGCTGATAGATTATTTATTTTTTAAGTTTTTCTCATAACTGCAGTTATGTGGAGTAGAAGTTTGTGCTTTTCATATGTATATTATATTTGGCAGGTGTATCTTCAGTTGTTTCAGAACATAGAAAACAGATTGATGATTTAAAGAAATTTAAGAACGACTTTAGGGTAAGTGTCTTTCATGTGAGTATTGAATAAAAAGGGAGTTACATACCATCCTTTTCCTTTGCTGTGCTTTTTTTCAGTTAATGAGTTGAAGCGCATTTATCAATAGGAAAATAGGCCCTTAAATTAATGAGTACATGTTAGAATGTTATTTGAACAAACATCCATATACAATTGAGATACAAGCCAATGTAAAACAAGTCAGTGCTGACTCTTCTTAATCTGTATGTTGTACTTGGGTGTCTCCAAATATTGAGTATATGTAAAATGCAGATTATAATTTAATTAGTGTCTATTGGAACATATGTGTGCTTATTTCTGTTTTTAGTAATTAAACCTGAATCTTCAACTGCAGGAGCCTGAAATTATTTTAACTGAACAATTTATGGAAATTTTCTTCTCTTATTACACAAGTACTGTTGGTAATAATGCATGTGTGTTCTGTATCGCTGCATAGGGTGATATTTACCAAAATGTTAACTATTTGTACTATCAGTTACAGCCAAGCTCCACCCTAGACACAGTGGATCAACTGCTAAACAAAAATCCAGAAGGTGAAAAATCCAGAGATGTGATTAAAGAGAAAACAGAATCAAACTCTGAAGAATCTGTCATTGAAACCAGCAGTAATGCGAACTCTAACAGTGGCAGTAGCAAATCAAATAGTCCCAGTATTTCTCCATCAACTAGCAGTAGCTCTGAGCAGAAACGAGGACCAGTGGTAACCTCTCAGGGTGTACAGACATCTGGACCTGGAAGTAAACAAGGTGGTAAAGAGGATAAAGAAGAGAAGAAAGATACCTCAGAGTAAGTAATTGTGTTCTTAATAAGCAAATCTGTTTTTTTAGAATCCCCAGCAAAGGAAAAAGCCACTCTTAACTCGTAGCATTTACAGGAGGCCCTCATGATTTGCAGAATCAGTATTCATGATTTCATGTGTTTGCAGATCTCTCCCATCCCCAAGCCCCTCCCCTTCCTGCCACTGCCCTGCCCTCTTCCCCCATTGAACCCCATCCCCTGGCCTCGGGGGAGGGGCAGGGAACGCAGCCTTGGGGATTACGGGAGGGGCCTGTTGCAGGGTGGCAGGCGTTGCGGGGAAACAGCACTCGCTCTGCTTCCCCCCACTCCCAGTATTCACTGACTTCACCATTCGCATTGGTGTCAGGAACGTATCCACTACGAATGGAGAGGGTTTCCTGTATATAGGATTTAATCTTCATAACGTTAGGTGGGTAAAGATTATCTGCATTTTACAAATGGGGCAATCTGAGGCAAAAGTTAAATGACTTGCCCAAAGTCATGAAACAGCTAGTGGCAGAGCTAGAACACTGGTCCTCCTGATACCTAATCCTGCATTCAATTGTCTAAAGCAGGGCTGGGCAAAATATGGCCTGAGGGCCAGATCCGGCTCGCCAAGCCACCAGATCTGGCCCACAGAGGCAGCTCGGAGCCCCAGGTAGGCTCCCCTACTTGGCCTGCACACCGCTCAGAATCGTGTCTACCTGGCCTTGCTTCCCTTTCAAAACTGTAATCCTGGAGGGGAGGGAGAAAGCTTCAGGTGCTGTCCCCACCCCAGCACGATCCCACCGGCTGGTTTCTGGCCAAAAACTGGCTAATGGGAGCTGCCTGTTTGAATAATAAACAGCCACAGAGCACCACCTTCCTCTCCTCCAGCTCAGTTAAGCACAAGGCTGGGCAGGCAGACTGGTTTGGCTGCTGGCTGGTAAGTCTCCTGGCCAGAGCCTGCCCGTCACCCCAGACCCTCCCTTCCTCAATCCTCTGTCCCCGCACTTCTGCCCCCCTCCTACAACCATATCCCTTCTCAGATCTGGCACCCTGGACTCCTGCCCCAGATCACCATCTCCTCTTAGCCTAGGTTACATCCCCAAACCCTGCATCCCAGTCCCCTGCCCTAGGTCACAACCGCCTCCTTCACCCAGACTCCCCCCAAATTTCATTCTCCCTTCTGCACCCCAATCCTTTACCCCAAGCTCCCTTCTGCACCCAATGTCCATCCCAGACCCTGCACCTCCTCCATTAATATCATGGAAGAGTGCATCCCTCAACCACTTTCCAAAAGCTTGGAGTCACCCCCATCAAAAATTATTGCCCATCCCTGTCCTAGACTATAGTAAGAGCTGTGTGGGGAGCTCTGGACCCTCCACTTGCCCCAAAGCAAGGAGCCAGTGTACCTAAGAGCAGCCCCCAGCCCATGTGCCTAAGCATCATCAAAAATATGCTTTGTAGAAATAAGTTTTAGTTGATATTTTTCCTTTTTCTTTCCATTAGATTAGCCATGTGCCCCAAGTCTTTTCTAATTTGACAATATTTTTTATGTTGTGATGGGACTTAGATAACTCTAAAACTTAAACTGTGGAAGAGTTCAAGGAAATGTTTGTGAAGGAATATCGCTGAACTTTAAACTGTGTGTTTTTGTTTATAGGCAAATTAGGAAATCAACACTTAATCCTAATGCAAAGGAGTTCAACCCTCGATCTTTCGCTCAAGTAAGTTTGGTGGTTGTATTGAGTGATGTAGCATGTAGTGACATTCAGCCTGTCAAGTAATTGCACAGTAATATATTTTTTCCTTGTATACTTGGGTCAAGTACGTTATACTCTGCTAGTTGAGAGTTCAGGCTGGTGTACACTGGGAATTTGCATTGATACGGCTATGTGTCTCAGGGCTGTAAAAAATTCATACCCATGAGAAGTGTAGCTCTGCTTAACTCAACCCCTGGCAGTGTTCCCTCTAAGATTTTCCATCCGTGAGTGAAGTGAGTTTTGTCTTGTGCACCAATATTGACGTGATATGCGCTTGTTCAGATGTGTGTCACTGCGGCACCCCCTAGTTACTAACAAAATTACACACACACACACACACACACACTCACTTTAAAATTGTTATGTAACAAGAAATACTAAAACAAGAGATAATTAACAAGGTGCATGACCCTGCACCCACCCACCCTGATAACCACTTAGCTTGCTGGCCCCACCCCCGAACATACACTGTGCCCCCATCAGGACCACACACAACCAGCGGGTACCAGTATAGGCCTGGCTAACTGCCTACCCTTACACACATCCTTTAGTTGTGCCCATCCTTGCAATCTGCTTCCCCATATGCCACCAGTATATAAGCCAGGGCTATGCTATCTGCCCCCCAAACACAAACAGCCAGTACCTGGGCTTAGGGCCCACAGCCCAAGCACCACTCCCCAGAGACCTGTGCCTCTTGGAGTGGGACAGGCACTCCATGTGCGCCCCACCCCTCCACATGCGTGGCCCTGCTGAGGAGGTGGGTGCATCTCAAATTCTTGGTGCGCATCTGTGTAGGTGTGCACCTTAGAGGGAACCTTAACCCCTGGTGTAGATAGTGCTAATCAATGTGAGAGCTTCTCACACTGACATAGGGAAGCTGTATTAACTATGCTGACTGAAGAGGCTCTCCCACTAGCATAGTAACATCTTCAGTAAAGCACTACAGCACTGAAGCAGCTACAGCAGTGCCACTATCCATAAATATGATCCCCAAGAGACTTTAGGAAGACAGAGCTGGATCAACACCTCAAGAAGGACATGACTTAAAATTATTTTCTCTTCTTTCAGGAGCTACATAGCTTCCTGAGCATGCTGGGATAAAGAGGTCCTCTTGGTGATACATTCAATACCTCCACTCCCCAGCTGATGACTGAAGTTTTCCACTCCAGTTCTCTCCAGGTCATTTAAAGCACACCAGGGAAAGTTTCATATTCCTAATATTCTAGGGGAAGTGATAGCAGGGAAATCTTTTCAGAAAGCAGACTCAGGTTCTATTCATTATAGAGCAGCAAAGAAACCAACAAAAGAAAATACCTCCTTTTCAGATGACTTAAAAGAAAGAATTCTTCAGGTAACAATTTCTTCATAGAAACATTTCCCACCCCCAACAGCTTAAGCTAGACTGACATATACTGACGACCAGATCTCCTCTATAATTTAACAGTGTACCTGATTAATTATCAGGGTTTTAAAGAAAATTGTTTGGTGCTTCAAACCATAGCACATTTTGAAAAGGGTTCACCATATTTCAGGAAACAAACTACACCTAATTTAGAGTACTATCTTTTTTAATAAAAAAGGCTGTTTTTAAATACCTAGTCTGAGTCACCATTATATTGTATTTATTTCCTTCAGTTCTTTACCACATATTCTCTCATCTCCTCCCTCATCCATTGTTTAAACTGGTTCCTAATTACATTCTTCTGAACTGTAATGACAGTATTTAACTTAATGGAACTTATTCACAGATGGTCACAAGCCCTCTAAGAAGGCTTTCAAGATTTTAGTTTTGACTGACGACAACAATGTTTTATCTGGAGCTGTTGCCAGGAAACCCAAAGACAGTCCACCTTTCCTTTGAAAGGTTTCCTCCTATTGAGGAAACAGCTGTGAATGTTACAACCAGTCTACCACAAAGAGGGCCTTTGTGGCATCTTTGAAAACTGCTGCTCCTAGGAAATGTGAAGGCATGATGTGCTCTTAGCCCTTGTCTTCACTGCCTGTGGGGAAGGTGTAACATTTCTGTAATGCTCTCCTCCTCTGCTCAAGGAGCAAGCATTTCTCCTTTGAAGTACCAAGACCAAGAACACTAACTCTAGCAGTAACCTTCAGAATATTAAAATCTTGATAAATTTTTCTTTCTGTCTTTTTTTAACTTCCCCATGCAATCAGGTGAAAAGAATTCACATGTTTTAAATTCCTGTGTTAAAAGAAGCACAACCTGTTACATTCCTATCTGACCACAATGAACAAACTCTGAGCATTGATAAAACTGGTACACATGAGTGAACTGCTTCATTTATTTGTAGCCCAAGCCTTCAACTACATCAACCTCACCTCGTCCACAAGCTCAGCCTAGCCCTTCTATGGTGGGTCATCAACAGCCAACTCCTGTGTATACTCAGCCCGTTTGCTTTGCACCAAATATGATGTACTCAGTCCCAGTGAGCCCAGGCATACAGGTAAAATAGACTTGTCTAACAGCTTAAATATAATATTGTTGGCATATTTAAGAGGATGATTACTAGGAGGTGGGACATGAAAGCAGAAGTAAGCTGTTGTGCTAGGTCAGTGGTTCTCAAACTTTTGGGGTACAGGTTGACAGCTCGAGTTCCCCCAGTTTGAGAAACCCTGTGCTATGTGCTCTACAGGGATAGATGTGCTTTGTGATCAGTATTATTTATATGTAAGTTTTGCTATTTTTTAGTTGTTTACATAAATGTTAACTTCCCCAACTGCACCTCAGCCTGACATATTGCTTGATTTAGAGGTATTATTGCAGAAGTGGGTTTTGTAGGGACTTCAATTCATATCTACAGGCTTACCCCTATGCTTTCACTTGCCCAAACACTATTAAAGACCGTGCTAAGTTTTGTACCTCAGGCTACCAAATACATAGTGGTCTGACTCTGTAAATTGTGAGCTATCATTTGCTTTCCTCTTGTCCAGCCTCTGTCATATATGATAGAAAGCTTGAAGTGCTGCATTTGGTCATCAGTCTGATCCATGCATTTTCTCTTGTTCAAAGTAGCACATTCAATCACTACTAGCCTGAAGAGTGAATTTTAATTAGACAAACACCTGTCAGGGATGGTCGAGATAATACTTGGTCCTGCCATGAGTGCAGTAGGGATGTCAACGGGTAGACGATTACACAATTAACTGATAAGCCTAAGCTTGTCATTTAAACTTGTGGACTACACACATTTCCCCCCACCGGGTGACTGGCTAGCTTAAAAGCAGGCTCCCCATGAGCACTGGATCTGCCTGCCTCTTCCCCCCCCCC